ATAGGTTATCACATGTGTCCATACATTTCTTATAGGAAAAACACAATTACATCTCTTGCTACAATTAACTGTCAGACTAAATCCCTTATAATATTTCATGTTGATAGGTTATCACATGTGTCCATACATTTCTTATAGGAAAAACACAATTACATCTCTTGCTACAATTAACTGTCGGACTAAATCCCTTATAATATTTCATGTTGATAGGTTATCACATGTGTGGCTACATTTCTTACAGGAAAAGCTCAGAATGTTAGATAGTGAATAACTTACTGCTCAACATGACAAAACATTTTCATTACAAGAGAATCATCTACAACACTTAGCCTAGGTTAACTTGTAACTTAAGAAATCTATTGTTTATCAGTTGAACTATTGTTTTCCCCTTTACAACGACAACTTATCCTACAGGCAAGCTTAGTCTGTTCATAGATCTGCCCAGGTCTGAGTTTTTTGTTGATAAATCCTTTTACATTTATTACATAGCTCCATCTTTCAATATGTAAGGAGGTACAGCCTGTAGAGTTCTGACTTTTGGGATTGGTTTTGTCGTAAAAAAATTGAAAACAGACAAAGGGGCTACAATACAATGGGGCTATAATGAAATAATAATCGCACTGTTAAGGCATAAAATATAATTTATATGGAATTCTCTGAGAATGCAGATTTCAAAGCCCCTATTTAAATGTTTCAGGCACATGGTCAGGACTTTGAAGATACCCAGTGGTTCGAGACGTTGGTTTTCTATGGCTGTCAGCCAGAGGAAACGGAGCAGGATGCGAACAATGACGATGTCAAACTTTTACCCACCATTGTAGAAAAAATAATAGTTCCACGAATAACAGGTATGTATAAGTTTACTTTAAAATTGAAGTTTGATTTAATATGAACATCTAAGGATAAGGAATATATACTCTATTTAACGGTTGGATTACTAATTTCGATTAAAATTCACCTCTGCAGTGCAAATATATACAATGAGATAAAATGGATTAGAGTATGTCTTTTTGCTGTAACCAGTGTCTCTTGTTGTTCCAGTATTAGCGGAGACGGTATGGGACCCTCTATCTACCACCCAGACTTCGCGCCTTGTCAACACCATCCAGCGTATCATCAGAGATTACCCGTGTGCTCATAGTTCAAACAAATTCATGCAGGTAAACATTGTCATGCACTTTGAAATGTGAGAATGTTTTGGGTAGTTTAGTGTAATTCAACCCCATGACCTCTTGTCTTGAGTGTTTATGTTGCCTTACACTGGAATAGATCTGTTTAAAAGGAACACTCAAGAATGAAAGCAGAGAGAATTCTTCATAGATGACAGTTGTTTATGGATTGCTGTGGTTTATAGACTTGTACATGTGATATAGAGAAATTTAATAATTGGAAAACTCGTAATTAGGTAGATAAGTTTGAAAATACTTCCAAAATATTTTGAGATGACAACATGTTTTTCATGTTAAAAATACGAAAAACCAGTTGTCATGTCAAAATAATTTTGATGAAGTTTTGTGAAGGCTAACGATTTTATTAAAATATTTTTACAACTTTTACAAACAATAACCTAAGAAATTACAAAATCTACCACGAAGCAGAAAACTGTGTGTTCATTTTATATCCAACATTTTTGCCTGTAAATGCAATGGTATGTTCATATAAACACGAATTCAACACAGGAAAATGAAGTGACTAGATAACGAAAATTTGGCAGGGCAAAATTAATGCTGCAAAAATCATGCAACGAACATGCCTAGTACTCGAACTTGTATACATTTTTCACAGATGATTATTACTTTTCAGAACCTACTGCACGCTGTTGTAAAACGACTACAGAAAACTTTGGACGATGATGTCTTCATGCCTCTCTATCCAAAATCGTATGTTCCAGTTTAACAGTTAAAATGTTTTTCTTAAGAAAAAGAAATAAAAAATTTAAGCAGAAATTATGGTATAAATTCGATTTATTGAGGAGAGGATGTGTATACTATATACAGAGATAGAGAATAGATAGAGATCTAGTATTATCTAAAAACAAAAACATTTGGGTAGAGAATGGATTTGATGTGATACAGAAATGAAGAGAATTGGTATAACAATAGAAAGGAATTTTATATGGATGGCTTTTGCTGTGTTCAACCTTCCATTAGCTGACAGTTTAATGTAGCGTTGCTTAACTTTATTTTCCAGGGCGATAGAGAATCGATCGTCTGGGGCCGCAGTTTTCTTCCACAGGCAGTCCTGGACCTGTATTAAGGTGGACACACATCTCCTAAGTTCTTTAGCAGAAAATGGAATCATATGATTTTGTACTAAAAAATGATAAAAAAATAAAGGGGTGGCATATTACATTATTTTAATGCTGCATGTGTCATAATTGGGATTCTTTTCAGATAAAATGGGGCACTTTTGCATAGTTCAAAAAGAATTTAATATTGAAAAAGTAGGGGACCTGTTGAAATTCTGTACTTCAAAAGGATATGAAACAGCATAAATGCAAACACATTATTTGTATAGATGTGTCAAAATGTTCTTGAAAGTATGTTATTTTATGTTATACAGTGCATGATAAAAGATTTTGTGTATTAAATTCTGTTTAAATTCATTCTAAGCCATATTAAAGTGTAATAGCCTGCAGTGAAAATTGTCAATTACAGTTAATCATGTGTAGATATTTTGAGACTATTGCTAACATTTCTGTTTTATTATTTCAGTTGCTGGGCAGCATTATGAGCTGGCATGCTATTATATCGACCAGTATTCTACAGAACCTAGCTCTAGACGGCCTCCTAAACCGTTATGTCATCCTGGGACTCTGTAACTCTGTTTTGAACCAGGAAACCATACAGAAATGTCACTCGGTGAGTCTCATTAATAAAAATACAGAAATATCTGCGAGTCTCATAAATTATGGAACTTATAATTTTCTGTCTTTGTAACTTTACAGAAATATTAACATTTTCATGTCATATTATCAAGATGATTCTAATTATCCCCTCGCAACGAAAGTTTCTGGGGATATAGGATTTCGCCCTTTAGATGTACATATGTATGTATGTTACACTCTTTGTCATCACTCTAGTAACTTCATTCCTCAACGGAATTGCATGAAAGTTCGTACAAGTGTTTGTACGGCAATGCCTTGAACAAGTTCGCATTTCAGGTTTCTATGTTCAAGGTCAAGGTCACTATTACTTAAAAAAAAAAGTCATCACTCTAGCGACTTCCTTTCGTCACAGAATCTCATGAAACTTCATACCTCAAAACTCTCCGACAGCTTTTTCAAAAGTGTCGGGAGAATTCCACGTTTTTATATAGCAGTGTGCTCTGGCCCCACACCATACATCTAACTGTCAGAATGTCTTAGTCTGGTGTCAGGGCCAGAAGAAACTCGGGCTAAATTTACCGTTACACTTTTGTACATGAAATGATCAAACTAGTCGTCTAGTCTCATCCTTAAGGTGGTGCACACTGAGCATTTGATTTTGTAATTACCTATTCCATGGGTGCAGAGAGGAGAAGAGGATGGGTAATAAAGAACCAGTCATGTCATTCTGTTAAGGCTGAAGTGCCATGTTCAGATGGTGATTATAAACATTGATACCCCAGACCTTAACTTAGTTCCATTATTCAAAGAATCAGGTTGATATGAAGACCTGCAAAATCTGAAACTGTTAGTTGACCTTAACTTGGTTCCATTACACAAAGTGTCTGATTGCAAAATCTGAAACTGATGGTTGTCCTGGTAGCATGTTGTGCTGATTAGACAAGTCCCACTTCCTGTTATAGCATCATTAAACAATGCTGTTCTGATCCTCTGTCTTCAGGTTGTCTCTACATTCCCCAAGGAGTGGTTTGCTGGTCTGGACGAGGAGAAGACTCTACCCCAGCTGGAGAATCTCTGTAAATACATGGTATCTGCTGCTAAAACCATTGAGAAGGACCTAGCCGCAGCTAAAGATATGGACAAGAAAGACCACAGGTACATCTGGTTATAAACTGTTACATTTTAAAAGTAATGGTTTACGTAACTTTTATTTTTTAACAGGGACATGTTTTATTTATCAGGTAATTTTTAGAGTTATTTTGATTAATGTGACAAATTCAATATCACCTTTCTGTTTAACATTACACAGACCTAGCAATCTTTTTTCAACATTGCTTAAATTATTACTTTTCTATTTCAACTCTCCTCAGAATCAAACATGTGGAAGTATTTAATGGATTTCATATCCTTTAAAATCAGTAATATTTTGAAAATGAAGAAATTCTAGGAAATATTATGTTTTATACTATAAAGCATTTATTTTTTATTTACAGAGACATGATTAAACAAATCAGCAAGATTCTGGTGAACGTTCATGCCCTAAATCACGCCCTCAGCCTTCAAGCATAACAGGGACACATAATTGTAGAAGGAACACCACTGGAACTGTCTCCAGGCCGGCATTTGTGTTCGCTGAACTGTAATGTGCTCATATAGGGACATCTGATAATACAGATGACCAAGTACTGAATTACATTAAACATTGCTGCAAGATTTGTAATTCAGAAGTGCTTCAAAATATGACAAATTTATAGTGATTTTTCCTTGGTCTTTTGTGTTGTGTAGAATAAATTAAAATGATAGAGTATCTTGTAAAGAATATTCTTAATACTGCAAAGAAACATGCAGGAACATATATGAAAAGAAGTATGCTTTCTACCATAAAACAGACGTCTAATGAACACTCACTACATACACCTTAAAGTGACATATTTGTGTGTTCTCATGAATATGCTGTCTCCATGCCAAAGTGATGTGCCATTGTGAATCTCAGAAAGAATGCTCTCTATACCCCAAATTGACAAGTTAAGAGTAACCTTGTCTAGGATGTTCTGTAGCCCAACATGCCGGAGTGTATCTCATGAAGGAAATTCACCTGCACCCATGAGTGTCGCGATGGAGCATTCTCATAAAAGAATTCAAGCTCTATATACCCCAAAGTGATATGTTAAACCATACCTCATGAAGGAGACTTTCTACACCTCAAAGTGATGTGCTGGAATGCATCTGTTTACAGACACTCCCTACACTCCAAAATGGTGTTCTTGAGTGTAGCTTGTGAGAGTTGCTCTCTATATCTTCATCCCTTCGTGACATGCTGCAGCATTCTCACAACGGACAAATTACAATCAAATGTGAGGAGCTAGAGTGTATCTGATGAAAGATGCTCACTTCACTTTTAAGTAAAATGCTTAAGTCTATCTCGTGAAGAACACTCTCTACTCTCAAAAGTGACATTAAAGAATATATCTCATGAAGGGCCCTCTTTTACTCTCTAAAGTGTATCTTGTGAAAGAGGCTCCTCACCTCAAAGGGACATGCTAAAGTGTATCTCATGAAGAACACTCTACTCGCCAAAGTGATAGGCTAGAGTATCTCATAAAGGACAATCTCTACACTTGAAAATATCATTCTAAGTTGTATCTCATAAAAGATTCTCTACATCCTGAAGTGAGGGACTCAAGGATATGTCATAAAGGAACCATCTGACACACAGTGATGTGCTAGGGTGAAAAGGAAGCTTTCCATACTCCAAACTGACAGTTACATATCTCATGAAGTACAATCTACACCCCAGAGTGGCAAGCTGGAATGCATCTGATGAACAATCTCTACAAACCCCAAAGTGATGAACTAGAGTGCATTATGTGAAGAATTCTCTCGCCATCCTAAAGTGAATATCTGGTGAAGGATGTTCTCTACACCCCAAAGTGACTTGATAGAGTATGTCATTAAGGACATTCTCTACAAATACACCCACAAGACAGTCGCAAAATTTCATATTCATCGATCCATCTGGATAACTATTCCATTGCACCTCTAGGTGATAATCATTAAGTGTGCACAGTTCACAACATTATTAAGCTTTGGTTTGAATCTTGATAACCATTTCATTGGAACGGGATGTGTAAAAGAAGGACCCTAGAAATCATTGAATCTAGCCAGATGTATTGCAAATTCTTGTTATTGAATAAATAAATCATCATGTAAGCAAATTCCGCTGTACAGTAATTATATTAATATTGAAATACTTTGCATGTATAAATCATGTTGATATGTTCTAGATACATTCTGGAACTATTAAAGAAAAAAACATACATTTTCGTTGTGTCTTTGTTATACTAATGATGTCTGTAAAAAGGTTTACCAATTCACTTTCAATGACTTGCTGTTTACTGTGAAATGTTACAAAGTTTTACTTTTGGCTTTTGTAGCGAGATTGAATTTAGTATGTCTGCAAATATTAGAAGAAATATAATGTAAAGAGCAAAACTAATTGGCAAAGTGTAAATATTTTGGTAAAATTTTGGTTGCAGTACTTTGACGTCCGTGATATGTTAAATCTTTTACCACCTTGATTCTAGTCATTCAGATGAAGTTCTTTAAATATTTGACACCTGTAACCTTTTGGTAATACAGGCCAAGGTCATATGTTTGCAAAATTTATTTCACTCCATGCTAACACAAGTTTCTGTCCAAATATCACGACTGTAGGTTTTGGTTCCAAGAAGAAAACCTTGGAGTATTTTAGCCCTTTTACCTTGAACATAGGTCAAGATCAATTTTGTCTGCATACAGTGTAGCATTCTGTGGCAGCAAGCTACTGGCCAAAGACAACCATAGGCCTAATTTTAAAACATTTGACCTTTGTGACCTTGGAATAAAGGCCATTGTTATATCTCTTTGCAAACTTTGTAGCACTTCATTCCAGTAAGTTAGGGATGAAGTGACCTTGTACTGGTGAATATTTTTGTTCTCCAGAAGAAATAATTTGAGTGTTTTAACAAATTTGACACCATGACCTTGAATATGGGTCAAGGTCATTTCTGTTTGCAAATTTTGTAGCACACTCCACAAAAGCAAGTTACTGGCCTAAGATGTCTCTTAACATTTTGGTTCTTCTCCAGAAGTTGTTTTAAGTTTTAACATATTTGATCCCAGTGACCTTGAAAAAGTTCAGTCTTATTTTTCCCTGCCAAATTTGTTAGCACTAATCTCAGGAAGCTTCTTGTCAAATATCATAACCCTACACCTAATGGTTCTCAGGAATAAGTCGTTTAAATAGGAAGTTGACCAATACCAAGTAATGTTCTTTGAAAATGGGGCAAAATTACCCCTTTGCATTGCTTAAAAACGTTGTACAACTTGAGAATGCATGAATTATTTGTTGTACAAGTCACAAATTTTTCTACATGGATTTTCAAGAGTAAATCATTAATAAAGCCTAGAGAAGGTATTGAGAGCATCAACAACATAATTGTACAAAAAAATAAACAATCGGCAAATGATAAAACAATATTTTATTTCTTAACCAAACAAAGAGTGGCATATATCACTTAATTTAGCACTAGAGCATACGCCGACAATCCTTCATCATTCACACATGGACATGACCATTACTGTAAGCGTACTTATTCTAGTGTAATCAAATTTTAACAAAACGATGGCAGTGATATCCAGCATTTTATTGCATAGATAACCGATGCTGTATGGTCTAATTTTCGTGGTGGATATGAATTAGACGAGACGTAGTGCGAAAGTCGCTAAAATTAGAACACGTATATCGTACATCTGACACTCCATTTTTCAAACACTCAACACTTCACTTGTATTCCACATATATTTATCCCAGGTAAACTTTGGAATATAAACAATCATAGTTGTGAACATTCTCCGAGGGCAACAATTTAATTGTCCAACAGATATTTTCAACAGCATGTCAACATCTACCTTTTTAGCCTTTGGACATGTCAAATCTTACGCAATGTATAGAACATGTAAATTCATTTATCCCCTAACAAATGATTAATTTCATTCAGTGAATATATACATATTTAGGCTGCAAAATCTTAGGAAAACACCGCTAGTTTTACGACTGCTCTGATCTGTATGACAGAACAACTGGATGAATTACAAATATCTAAAAAAGTTGTGTTGGTGTTAAAACACAGCATAGCAGCTGAATTATCTAATAAATATGCAAGACCACATCATATACCTTCCCTATTTGGTAGAGATCAATACAAAGATTTTATAAACTTTGATATTTTTTGCAAATATCAGGAACTTTTCAGTTCGCCATGACAAGGGGATTCCCATAAAAAGTAGTTCCGGCTAGTAGGTAAATACAACATTCTAACGTAGTATTTCATGGTCTGAAAATTGCTTGTATTACTATAACAAGATTCAACAGGTATGTGATAAAATATAAATATATCCAACAAGTCATTTACCAAGGTAAAGCGCCACATTCCTAAACATACAATATCATCAACTGATTGTGAGGCATTTATAATAATCTTAAAATCGTTCATCTGATTGGCTAATTCTTAGATATGACTAGCTACCTATTGTCTATTTTGGGTGTCCAGGTCTGATGATCATTTGCTGAAAACACCAGTTTGAGTCATTGTCTGAAGGTATCACATGGGAGTCGCATGGAAGTACCTTCTCATACCACTGAGGATTTCTAGCAGAAGTAACAATCTCGGACCACTGTCTGAGGGCATCACATGGAAGTAACAAGTTCAATCACTAGAAGTATAAATACTGAAGGCATTATACAGAAGTAACAAGCTCGAACCACTGTCTGAGGGCGTCACACAAAACACTAGGCATGGAGTTGATATCACGCAGAATGATGTAGAACGGGAAAGGAAAGTGGTCCATGTAAGACTTGATCTCGGGCATCTGCAGCAAAGAGAAGAAAACTGGTTCATAGCATATACATGTAAGACAAACGAAGTAAGTGGTGTTTCTCAATATTATATGAATTTTAAATTTTCAGGAAACTACAACAGTTTTGTATATGGGCAGCACAATTTTACCATGTTATGATTCTGGAAGTGATTCCCCAGAGGTGGGGCTAGATCACAGTTGTTTGAAAATATTACATATTTGACCCGTTTTGACCTTGAAAGTAGGTCAAGAACATAGGTATGATAAAACTACAGCATTCAATCCCAGATACACATTGCCTAAATATCACAACCCAGAGACTTGTCTGACTAAGAAAATGTTTACTGTAAAGCTTCCTACACATTATAGCCTGTGCAGACAATGCTTAGAATTGATCTTTGACCTCGAAAACATGTTCCAAAAAGATTTAAACTGCTGGTCTACATAACATACCAAAGTGTCATGGCTTGAGGCTTATCAAAACATTTGACCCCTTTGACCTTGAATGAAGGTCAAGGTTATTTATCAGGAAATTTTATAGCACTTGTAGATATTGTCAAAATATCAGAATCATGGGTTTTCAGTTTTCAAGAAGTTGTTCAAAGAATTATTTCATAGATTGATGATGAATGTTGCACCATTCTGAAAGATCACAGAACTTTGTGCCAATTTAGCTAAAAAATAGAACATGAAAATTTCAATTATAGTGTCATTAAGTTCTGTACAAATAGATATATGATTCTGAATACTAAAATACATGTATGGCCCAGGCTTATGAAGATGAAATACCTCTTCATCAGCTGTCAATCAATTAAAACACATATAGGATCATTTACAATAGCTTACCTGTCCGGGTTCCTTGAACACGGGTACTCGAATGTCCAATATAGAATCCTGAAATGAAGTGGATAGTCCAGAATCAAACATTACATACTGTAGTATAATGTACAAGGCCCACTCCTTGGTGTTTTGTGTTTTAAAAAAGGAAAATTTGTGTAAAACATGCCCCTGCTGCCGACATGATGGGACAGGATCTGAACACAAAGTATAACCAGAGAAAATGGAGCCAAACACAAACTTAAATCAGTCAGTGAGGTGGAAACAATCACAGTGACCTATATATTTAATTCATAAGTGTAGTTATCCTCAAGTTCTATGGTTGATAACTGCTGGGTTTCTAGTATATAAGTATTCAAGAGTCATGCCTAGGTTGACAAACTGATGGAATATACACCTTCGAGAATGCTGTAGGCTTAAACATTTTTTCAGAACATTTTCTTTTGGAAAACCCTTTACAGTGTACACTTTTGGAAACAATCATTTTGCTTACTCTGGCCGATTGGAGTGATGAACTCACTATCTGTCGCTAATAATCTTAAACAATTAACTATAAAAAGTTTGAAATGTTGCCAATAATTTCAAATTCTTAAATAGAATTGTCCTGTTTATTTGTATATTGAACAAACTGCAGTTGATTGTATAGAAGCTGTAATTACTTTCACTCATCGATGTTTACACTTTTAGCTAAATACATCCCCTCCATTCCATCGATAAACACTGAAAATTTGAAGTGTAATCTGTGATATTGAAATTACCAAAACATCTTATCATCATTACTGATTATGTTCAATTCTAGCAGTTACAGCTTATCTTTGCTCTGTCTACCTTATTTCTGGACTGTCGATGATACCAAAGATGATATACACTGTTAATGTAATGTGTTATCTGGGATGTTGAAATAATCAGGACTTCTTGTCTTATTTACTGGTAATTTTCTGTTTATGGGGTTGTTTGCCAAACTTTTGGATTCTAGTGTTGCGAGTTTATCTTTGATGTGTCTACCTTGTTTTCTGGGTTGTCGATGATAACAAAGACGAGGAATAGTCTGGCCTCTCTAGCCTGTCTCACAGCAGCCTTCACGGTCTCCATGCCCTCTACAAACAACCCTCGTCCGTCGGAAACAATCAGTAGTAGTTGGGAGGTGTCGGGATTACTCAGGGTCCCCTGCTGTCTGGACCGTGCATCCACCATCAGACTGGTCATCTGCTTGAGAAGCTGTAGATATAAACAGTATAACACCGGGTTATTTTGTGACCATTCTGTTTTGTAAGAAACATTAAGTTATTTGATTTCGGTACCACAAAGCTCACAGAGGACATCTCCTGTTAGGGCTATTCCATAATTTATTATATGGGAGAGGTAGGAGGCACCTGTATTAACTCATTCACCCCTGAAAATTTATATATATAATGAACTATTCCAACCTTTGAATTGGAAGAGTTCAAATGTGTCTTCAGTGGTGAATGAGTTAATATATCATAGGTGGCAGAGTTAAAAGCCTCCAACTCCTCCCCTACAGTTAATTTTGGAATAACCCATATTTAATCTCTATAATTTATTCAGTTTTAACATGCATAGAAAAATCATTGCCATAAATGATTTCAAACTTGCTGAATGTTCAATTACATACAATTTTCTAAATAAAAGTAAAGGAATGGAAACATCATTTATTTATCTATGTTGTATACCAAATTTTGTCACAAACATTTCATCATTATTATGTGATTGCTTTGAGGCTTGTTAAGTCACTGTGGGTGACACTGAATAAATAGCCTGCTTGTATAATAATACATTTTACAGATACAGTGTACTGAAGTCAGAGTGTCACCTGAGCAATCTTGGTCTTCTTCTGCTCAAACGTGAAGTGCTGTAGAAGTCGGGCTCCGGACTGAGTAGTGAACTGTTCCGTGAAAGGATGCAGCAAACGAACGCTTTCTCCAAAACTGACAACACAAACAGGCTCTTATAAAACAATGTAACGCATCTTTTCTCAGCAGTATACAGAAGATATGAAGATCATAACACTGACTTAAATAGTGATGCCCAATCTCTTTTCTGTCTATAAATGAAATTGATTAGAATAATAATCACACTGATTCTTACAAGCACCAATCCTCTTTTCATCAACAGTATAGTGAAACCTTGATATACCCCTGCAGAAAGGACTTCCTATTATATCTTACACGATTTCATGCCCCCACCTCCATCCAAAGTTTTGCTTTTAAATCTGGCTTAACTCATTCACCCCTGAAGACACATTTGAACTCTTCCAATTCAAAGGTTAGGTTAGCTCATCATGAAATTTCAGGGTTGAATGAGTTAACTGACAAAATGATTCAGTCCTCTTTGATATTGATAAAATCAGGTTTATTGACACACTTTTATACCCGACCAAATGATTGTGACAGTAAAGATAGGATTCCAGGTTTTTCTCTGTATACAGAACTACTGTACACTGGAGTTATTTTCCGCCTGTTTCACCCTATGTAATGAGGGTGAATTTATCATTACAGCAAATATTAGTAAACAACATAATATATTGGGTCCCAGTGTACAGTGATAAACAAAAGAACCATCTTTGCTGTCTCACCTGCAAATTCCTAGATCTCCCGATTCCAGCAAGGTCAAGGCATTGGCTATCAATGCTAGTGATTCATACGCAAGCTGAAAGGGAACAATTTGATTATAGTCAAATGAAAATAAATTTTTGAGTGATTGAAAAAATACTTTGCTTGCTTAGATTTTGCCGAGTTACGTTAATTTTGTCTTTATTTAAAAAAATAACAATACACAGTACATAAATAAGTTTATTTCAAGCACCTTGAAAGTTTAAGTGAATCATACTTGCAAACGTTTTAAAATTTTCATGAGGGAAAATATGCGAGCTCAGAACTAAAATCGTAAATAAAATGTGTATATACACCCTAAGGAAGAAAATAACTTTTAAATGGCATCTTTGGAGCTGTTCTTTCATATGAAACCATCAGATCTTAGAAAACAGGAACAGTTAAGCAAATTCAGTGGTTGAAAATGCTCAATTTAGAGTCCAAAATCGGGAGTTTCCCTCCAAAATAGGGAGACTTGGCAAGCATGGTTAATGTATACTGTGTACCTGCTTGGAGTGGTTGTCCACCATGCTGGAGGAATCGTCGATAGCCAACATGATCTGGTACTGTCGTTTGCTTGGCTTGGTACGACGAAGCCAGATTTTATCTTTGCGGAACTGACTGGCAATGTAAGGAATAACCTTCCTCATATTGAGCCTCTTTCCAGTTCTGTAGTCACCTCTGGAAACAGGAAATTTATGAATACATGTCAAAGTTTATACAATTAGTAATGGACTCTAAAAGATGTGTGGCCCAAGAAGAATAACATACCAGATGCTTAGGGTTTGTAGGCTGAGAAGGGGTTCATGCTGGAGTTTTGTGGTCTGGAAGGGGATACATACTTGAGTTTTGTGTCATTCGAGGGGATACAGACTTGAGTTTTGTGGCCTGGGAGGGGATACACACTTGAGTTTGGTGGCCTGGGAGGGGATACAAACTTGAGTTTTGTGGCCTGGGAGGGGATACATACTTGAGTTTGTTGGCCTGGGAGGGGACACCTACTTGAGTTTGGTGGCCTGGGATGGCTCCAGTACCAGTCGTAGCTGCTCACACAGTTCCTGTGACAGACTGGTTGTCAATGCTTCGTATTTATGCCAGGCCTCTGCTGCTACACTCTCCTACAACAAACAATTTGTTCAGATTACATACTGCCTAGCATGAACAATATTATTGATCTGTATGACAAGTTAATAAATCTAGGCTAATAGGAATCACACAGCACTAGATACACATATGTAGTAAGTACATGCTGGTGGAGCAAAAATTAGTAATGAAAACCCTGTTGACATCATTTTCTCACATTTCATTTAATAAATTCTGAATAACCAATCAAGAAAATAAGGTAAATGAAGATTAATCAAATGGTGGGAAAATGAACTTTTATAAACTTTTATCAATAGGCTAGGGTCAAAAGAAACACTAACATGGCTAAGACTTAAGATTTAGAAAGAGGGAAGAAAAATATATAATAGAGATCTTATATTCTGTAATGAACATGGATCATTCAGGTAACCCACTGGTCCATGAGTTCTGATAGTAAAGTTACATTCTATAGTAAACAGACACAAGAAAAGTACTGTGACCAGGATGGTAGGAGTTGGATTCCCCATTCAGATTTCAAAATGTGCTAGTCACATGCGACCACACATTGTTTGTCCCAGATTCCTCTCATATTAAGATCCCATGTACACGTGCACGTTCGCTCTGCTAAACAAGAGTTATTGATAAAACTTCTTTTCATAATTGTTGTAAAACAAGACAAAGTATTGCAAGGCAATCCATAGTCCCCCCACCCGCAATGATTTCTATATTCAACAAACAGTACACTTAAGTTAGGATGTACCTTCTGTTAGGAAAGTGTCTTGATACATACTCATTGCACTCTGCCATTCCCAAGATATCCTTGTACACCAAATCTGGTTTCTCCAGGTTAAATAGTATAGAAGATATGCCCCGGACAAACTTTTTTCAAAAGTAAAGGTCAAGGGTCAAGTCATAGGTCACAGTGACCTAATTCTTGCATTCTGCACTCTGCCATTGCAAGATGTCCTTGTACACCAAAACTGGTTACTCCAAGTGAAATAGTATAGAAGATATGCCCAGGACAAACTTTTTCAAAAGGTAAGGTCAAAGGTCAAAGCATAGGACACAGTGAGGTCATAGTGACCTAATTCTTGCACACTGCACTCTGCCATCCCAATTTAGCCTTGTACACCAAACCTGGTTTCTCCAGGTGAAATAGTATAGAAGATATGTCCCAGACAAACTTCTTCGATGGATAGACGGACAGAGTGCAAACCTATAGCCCCCCCCCCTCCCCCGAACCAGTGGGGGACTAATAAATTTCAATTGACAATAGTAAACTTACATTTTGTAGAGAACAGGCATCAAACCAGGTGACCAGCTGTTCCTCAAGTTCTGATCGTAGCTTTTCAATGTCAAAATCTTGCGTCTGAAACCAAGAGCCCAGCAAATCAAACACTTAAATTATAACGAAGATAGTGACAACATCGTTGATTTGACATCAGAGGCAGGGTCATCTAAACTGTACCCTACACACAATATCATACATTTATTGCCTTTGTGTGGGGAAATATGGTTTTTTGTTTCCTCAAGATTAATCATGTTTCATGAGGACGAAACCCGAGTGAAAGTCACATGTTTTATTTTTCCATCCTGTGATGAATATTATCCAATCAGACACACTGTTAAATATAGATAAGGTATAATAATGTTGAGTGTCTCATAATGTTCCTAGGGTAATGTTATGAGACCATTATACCCATAGAAGTAAACAATAATGGGTTTAGTGCACCACATAACTTAAAATGGAACTAAATTGCCAATATGGTGTATAGCCTGGTGAAATATTTAACAGAATTGTGGAAACTGCCTATGTCACAATATGTGCCGAGAGCTACATGACACCCCTGGTGGTGTCACTATGCATAAGTGACGGTGCCCACCTGTGTAGACACTGTCATTTTATGATTTTCATGTGGTTATTCAATCAATGTCTCAGTTTTTAGCATGGAATATACTATGACAATGTTGTAATAATTGAAGATTACAGTTTTACTAAATAATTTGCATTCAGGAAATAAAAACATAATTGCCCTGCATTATATAACAGACCTTATCTATAGTTTTGAAACAAGGCCTTTATTCTAACTGTCTTCTGGGTTGGGGGCCAAACATTGTACAGCAAGTTTGTTAAGTGCTGGTTTGTAATAACATGTGGTATTTTTTACCGGTATGTGTAACTGGTGGTCAGCAGTGTGGATTGTGGAGTCAGGTCCTCGAGCTACCATGGCTGTCGTAACAACCTCTCCATCTATTTCATGCTTGACATTGTCATCTGTTTCCATGACAGCCTCTTCATCCACTCCTTTTGAGGACTCCTCCTTCTTACCAGTGAGCTTGGCAGACATCTTGGTAGCAGCCTTTTCCTCTGTCTGAAGCATAAATATCACAGAAACTGTAACTATCCACTACAAGGTAGAAGTTCTATCGTCTATGATGGTTCCCCTTATATTCCTTTGGTTTTACTCTTCAATACTATGTTACCCTACATGATCAGTACTCCTATTATTTGCAAAATCTCCTGATTTGTTACACAATATATGATTGGTCTTCTGATATGTTAAACAATACCTGATTGGTCTCCTGATTTGTTTCACAATACCTGATTGGTCTCCTCCTCCTGCATATCCACATCCTCATCCTGTTGCGGGGCCTCCTCCTCCTCCTCCTCCATATTAGGCAGTGCCTGCTGCTGCTGCTGATCATCTGTAGCTGTGTCCAGAGTCTGTGTATCATGTGACTTGGAGTCCTTGATGTGTTGGTAGAGGTCAGATTCTGTCTCTCGCTCCTCCTTATCCTCCTCCTCCTACAAGAAAAATTTTACAATCCAGAGTATGTTACACTGTAAAAGATTTTTTGGGATATTCTTATTTCCTCGGAAAATACACTACATTGTATAAGTAAATTCATCCATCCTCATTGAAGCACTATGTTCCATGGTCACTACACCTGAAGTTTATGAAAAACAGATCACACAAAATTAAACATTTGAAGGTTCTTTAAGTTGAATTGTGAGCTTGTAATCGTTGATAGACCAAACAATTTTGTTCATGTCATAAACTCTATCGCAAAACATACAATTTCTGCTTTTGGATGAAAGGGTAAATGTTTCAAAAGGTCAAAGGGCAAATATTTGGCATGGTGGAAATGTTGGTCAAGTTCTATAATATTATACTGAAGTTTTAGATAATCATATACTGACCTGTGCTGTGTCTTCAACAGTTTTTAGCTTCTTATATTTGTTGTCTCTGGATCCAAGACTGCGATCTGAATCTGATTGGCCTGGCTTCCTCTTCAGTGGCTGGCAAAGGAAGGGTAAAAACTGGTAACAGCAATGTCTTTAAACATCATAAGATCATTTAAAGTAAATGCCCCCTTTCTCCCCTTTCTATAGCATACAGCATACAGAGACTTTTTGACCTTGCCATTGAGATGAAGGTTCTGATTGTGACCTTGACCTACATTGTGATCTTGTCTGATAAGGTTCCTGAAAGTGACATACAGAACACCATAATTTAAAAATACCTTCATTCAATAACCACTTTGGTAAAGGCTTAATCTGTACCAAAAAAACAATTATTTGACCTTTTACTTTTAAATATGGCATCACCCTTGAGGTCAGATTACTAAAATAGGTGATCTTGTCTAGTGTTGTAAACTATTTATATCTTAGTTGATACAAATGAAACCTGTAGCCTTGTTAAAACAGCTAGCTTTCCAAACAACAGGTAGATTTTTACCCTTTTGTTGTCCTGCTGGGCTGCTCCATGAGTGACCTTTGATGAACTTTCACCTTCATGACCTTCAAGTTGTTCTGTAGATGTGGTGCCAACATTATCAGTCTGAAAAAATAGACAGTAATAATCTTGGATCAAACAGGTTAAAAAAATGTTTAAAAAAAAAAAAAAAATGAAATTCTTGAACCGTCTCTACTTGATTTGGAATATGGATAAACATTATTAATATTAACCTGCTTTTGGTCATTATATTTCTCATTGACCTATTTACTGGTAGTTTGTAAATATAACTCTTCCCAGCCTATTTACCTGTTGTTGGTCGTTCTGACTTTCCCCGGCCTATTTACCTGTTGCTGGTCATTCTGACTTTCCCCGGCCTATTTACCTGTTGCTGGTCGATTTTGACTTTCCCCGGCCTATTTACCTGTTGCTGGTCGTTCTGACTTTCCCCGGTCTATTTACCTGTTGCGGGTCATTCTGACCTTCCCCGGCCTATTTACCTGTTGCTGGTCATTCTGACTTTCCCCGACCTATTTGCCTGTTGTTGGTCGATCTGACTTTCCCCGGCCTATTTACCTGTTGTTGGTCGTTCTGACTTTCCCCGGCCTATTTACCAGTTGTTGGTCGTTCTGACTTTCCCCGGCCTATTTACCTGTTGCTGGTCGTTCTGACTTTCCCCAGCCTATTAACCTGATGTTGGTCATTCTGACTTCTTCCGGCCTATTTACCTGATGTTGGTCATTCTGACCTTCCCCGGCCTATTTACCTGTTGTTGGTCGTTCTGACTTTCCCCGGCCTGACTCTGGGCCTGCTCACTCTGTTCTACGTCGTCCACCCCATGCGATGACTGTCCCTGATACTCGTTAGGTGACGGATCATTCTCTTCCATCTCCTCCTCTTCTCTCTCCTCTGTCTTATCATCCTTAAGCAAAAACAACCAATATCACACAATGATCTAGTGTACTTCACTGGCTAGTGTATAAAGGTAGTCTAACCTACAACACTGGATAAGTCAATGGTCTAGTCCATCTCCTTCCACCCTTTGACTAAAATTGTATCCCCTTTTACCTGTTCAAGTTTTCTCTGTCACCTCCTAGGGTATGACAGGTTGCAGGCAGAAAGAGTACTATGACATCATGGGAATAATTAGATGTAATGTCCCTAGTTACATATTAATACCATAAACTTTAAAAGACAATATTGTCAAGGTTTCATAAATTTGGTGTACCGACATAGTACAAAGAATGTTCGACCCTTTCACCACTGTAGACCATAATGGACTCATCCAGATCAATGCATGGTAGAGTCTTCTAAAGTTAAATAGGGTTGAAAGAGTTAAGATTGCAAGAAAAGTTATGTGTCAATTAGTTTCTGCAAGGTTAATTATATTTCTGATATTTAAGAAACTGGGCACAGTAAGCAAAGCTGATCATAAAGGTCGTTGTTTTTGGAAATGGGCGAAAAAAGTTTTTTCGCCCATTTCCAAAAACAATTACCTTTATGATCAGCTGTCACATTTTTGATTCACAATAAAAATCCCCACGGTTGCAATTCCTTGGCCACATTTTTCACACCTTTTCTTTCCGAGGAGAAATATATTGCTTTGGTGAAATAAGTGAACATTCAAGGTATTGTTAAGGCAAGTAAAATCTCTGATGAAACTACCTGAGCAGAAAATCCTGGAGTATCGTCCTGTCCCTCTTCGTCCTTCTGCTCCTCGGAAGAGTCCTGTTGACCCTCTGTCATATCCTTAAACAGAAGGTCACAAGTTTTACTACAGTTTTAATCAACAATAATTCAAACCTTCACAAGCAAAGGACTTTTTCTATAACACACTTTCTATAATCACTAGAGTAAAAGATTTTTCATTATGAAAATGCACATCTGATCTACCTAAAATATGTATGATTTTCAATTTTCATTTTTGACTGAATCTAAATATCAAAACTGATAAACATGAATAATTGGATCTATTCCAATATCATTTATTACCAATCTGTTTATTTCCTGTTCAGTGAAATCTGTCTAATCCAACACCCTGTGATGCTCAGATTATTTGTCACATTGGATAGGATGCCAGATTACACAGGGATTGGCTAAAACAGGTTTCATTGTACAATGTTTTTCTGATGCACATTTTCCTCATTTAATTTTCATTCTACAGAACATCATGGTAAATGCTAAAGAACATTTCACAAAAAACTTTTCCTGTTCAATTTCTAACATACACACATATTACTTGCATCCAGATGCAACCATGCGCTAAATTTACCAAGGTTTAGAAGGCAGACATATCTGATGTTAGGATTAAAACATAGGTCATGATTTTCTTCTTCTTAGAATATGGTATCTATAATATCATAATATACAATCATTTTTATTTTTAATACTGTCTGACAGGTAACATGGTAAAATACATTCAATATGACAAAAGGTTACAATGCTTCCTACCTTTTTATCTTGGGTTTCAGATTCCTCAAACCCTTCTTCCTCTTTCTCCTCCTTATCCTCTGCTGAACCATCATCAGGATTTTCTTGTTTATCCTTGTCCTCCATGTCCTCCTCCTCTCCAGGAGTTATCTCCTCTTTAACTTCATTTTCCTCTTTTCCTTCTTCAGGTTTTGAGGTATCATCATCTTCAAATTCAAGAGGTGCACATAGTAGGTGAGATTTTATGCATTTGTTCAACAAATAAAGTATTCATATATTTCAAACTTAATTTCAAAATTTTAAGCAAGTGACTGTTGAGAAGATTTAAACAGTTAAAACTAATTGCCGGGTCCATTGGCTATTTTAAAACCTTCACCCTCTTTAAAACCTGATTACCTGGTCCATCAGTGGCCTTCTCCTCCTCCTCATTATCGTCCAGATTGAGGTCCTCGGGGAGATCCATTGCCTCTGGTTGTTCTTCTTGTTCCTTGTTACCATGGTGAGGGTCTATACGATCATCATCATACTCAGACTGGTAAGAGAAACACATTTTGTTATAGATGAATGATAGGTTCATCAATGTTAAGGTTTAACAGAGTTGTCTACCCTTTCTTTCAAAGTTCAAATAGCCAGTTATCGTTTGGCTTCACTAGTTAGATGTTTCCTGTTGTTTTTGAGTTTAAGCATAATATATTTACTCTTCCATAATCAAGGAAAATAGAGTATTTCCTCTTACATGTACAGATTTTCTGAGGTTAGTGAGAAAATATATTCTTTCTTTCTTTCTTTCAGTCATCTCACTTTGCCTAATCTATCTCCTGTTCAAGGCAAGATAATATTTACTCTTTCTTACACAACATACACAAAGTTATCTCCCCTTAACTAGTGTATTCCTTTTTGTCTGTTTTGTTTATTATATATTTACTTCTTACTCAAGCAACACTGTTATCTCCCCTTACCTCATCCATCTCTTGTTGCTGGTGAGGCTGGATATCTTTGTTTTCCTCTGTCTGATCCTCATCCTTCTTTTCCTGATCCTTTGTGTCCTCTCCATCATCTTTATCAGTATTTTCATCTTTTGCCACCAGCTGGCTTTCTGCTTCCTGTCCTGCCCCTGGCCCAGACTCCTCCTCTTTGTCCTAGAATATACAAAGTTGTCGAATGTCACTAAATGAGCAATAATACACATAAGTATAACTTCATCTGATACTGAAGATAGCACATGCTTATTCTCTGTGAATGCAGTTAACCTGATATTAGTGTGGAGGTCTGTTGTAATATATAGCTAATAGCCATTAAAAAAAATAAAAAAAATAATACAGATTAATTGATATTAAAAATGAACCTGACCAGCGAGTCACTAACAGAATATTTCCCTACCTTTCTATTTTCATCTTCCTCCTGGTCGTCATCACTACCCCACATCTGCTCGTCTAATTTGTCAGCGTCTTGCTCATCTACTTCTCCCATCTGTTTATCCAGTTTGTCTTCATCATCATCATCCTCGTCTTCCCCATCATCACTTTTCTTGTCCACATCCTCCAGATCCTGGGCATTTGCATCAAAGTCCTCAGACATCTCAATAGCATTCTCCTCTGAGGCCACATCTGGGTGGTCCTGAGGTTCTTTCTTCTCATTTTGTTGTCTTGTGTCCTCCAACTAAAGTAAGAAAGTTTGATTTGTACCCTTAGCAATTTATAGAAAACTTGTCCGATACCCAAAGCTAAATACATTAGGTGACAATCATCTTTGACCTCCTATATAAATTTTATTTACTTAACAAAAAAAATGAAACAAGTCTTTTTTGCTTATATCAATCATTCTTGTTGGCCTGGATAGAAGAACGAAGATGGTTTTAATGTAGGAGGACACCTAGAGTACTTAGAGAAAACTCATGGGGTCGGACTGATGACCCAATACCCAACACCTTGTCAGATAGTCAAACCCAGGACATTTTAGTGAAAGCCAAGTACCCAGTCCACTGTGCAAACCGACTTCCTCCCCCTCCCCCATTGACAGTGTGTAGAGAAGCAAACATAACTGGTCCACTATCTCTATCTGGTCATTGACATCCTTGGCCCCTCCCCCATTGTTGGTATAGAGTAACCCCCCCCAC